TAATTCTTCATCAGACGTTTATGCTTCTTTCCAAGTAACATTGCAAAACTTATTTACACACATGCTGCATATATATTTCAAAATGTATATTTAAATGCATTTTCCCGACGTTTTGGTGTGTACCGCAAAGAATTATGGGCAATATCCTTCGCCAGAGTGCGCATAGATGCAGGCTACGGCGAAGTGTGGATCAGGGGCGCAAAGGGGGCGGGGCCAAAGACCTCCCTGGAGAATTGGGACACCCTACGCACTCGCACCCTTTATCGGGAACGCGCAAATGAGGGGCGCGAGGGTGGAAGTGCGAGTATTGGGACGGGGCCGAAGGGCTGCGAATGAGTGACTTCCAGACTGTGAACTCTGAGAATTAATATACTGTATATATTTTGTAATAACTTTTTAACACAGTATGTTTCATTCTGACTGAAGCACATGATAATGTTATAAAACAGTATGTTTCATTCTGACTGAAGCACATGATAATGTTATAAAACAGTATGTTTCATTCTGACTGAAGCTCATGATAATGTTATGTGATGTGAGAAATGCACTAAAGCCACTGGAGAAAAACTGTAACTATTCAGATCCTCCCCCTCCCCCTAAGATGGCAAAGTGAAGCTCAGCCTGCGATAACGGCCCTATTTACATAACAAAGTTGGCCGTTCACAGGTGATTTCGTTTGTTAGCTAAAATCCTTGGGGTCATTTGACACCGTGGAGGGGATGATAGGTATAAGTGCCAAATGACACCTCCATGCGAGTGCTAGTGTTAAAGCTGCTTTCAATATCTTTTCAAATCTGTTTTCCTTTTCTCCATAGCATGTCTGTAACAAAAGTTCTCATAATCTGAAGTCGGCGTATTTACATGGTTTTATGAAACAGAATTCTGAGAAAAACAGGTTTAAAGATCGACATTCCAAACATAATCATCACAGTCACATATAACATGTAAATTTTGAATTACTCTGTTATGGCACACTTGTTTTAGTCACTATGTTGTAGAAGATTAAAAAGATGTTACTTTGGCACCAATTAAACACACAACACTCATGAATTAGTCGAAAATCAAGAATGTATTGATTCTTTCAATATTCAATGGATTGAATTTTGACCTCCTCTTCTTTTTCTTTCTCTTTATAATTTACTGAAAATTAGATATGTATTAGACATTGCCAGTATTATTCTATCAAATCACGCAGTCTAAATATCCACAACCACCAAGCATTTTTAATGCAAGGAGAAACTTAGGTAACTTTAAACACAAATAAAACAAATGGACCTGTCCGACTCGAGTGTCTATGCGTCGTGTGTCTCTGGTTCTGTCCAGGTGTCTATGATCCGCGTGTCTCGCGTGTCTCCGCCTGTCTGGGTTCTGTCTGCGTATGTGTAAATGTAAATGTAAATGTCTGTCTGTGGTTCTGTTCGGGTGTCTATGGTCCTGTCTGTGGTTCTGTTCGCGTGTCTATGGTCCGCGCTCGTGAGCAGAGAGAGACGTGAGCAGAGAGAGACGTGAGCAGAGAGAGAGAGCAGAGAGAGAGAGAGACGCGAGCAGAGAGAGAGAGAGACGTGAGCAGAGAGAGAGAGACGCGAGCAGAGAGAGAGAGAGAGGTGAGCAGAGAGAGAGAGAGACGCGAGCAGAGAGAGACGTGAGCAGAGAGAGAGAGCAGAGAGAGACGTGAGCAGAGAGAGAGAGACGCGAGCAGAGAGAGAGAGCAGAGAGAGACGTGAGCAGAGAGAGAGAGACGCGAGCAGAGAGAGACGTGAGCAGAGAGAGAGAGACGCGAGCAGAGAGAGACGTGAGCAGAGAGAGAGAGACGCGAGCAGAGAGAGACGTGAGCAGAGAGAGAGAGAGACGTGAGCAGAGAGAGACGTGAGCAGAGAGAGAGAGAGCGTGAGCAGAGAGAGAGGTGAGCAGAGAGAGAGAGATGCGAGCAGAGAGAGAGAGAGATGCGAGCAGAGAGAGAGAGAGAGAGCGAGCAGAGAGAGAGAGAGCGTGAGCAGAGAGAGAGGGACACGAGCAGAGAGAGAGACGTGAGCAGAAAGAGAGACGTGAGCAGAGAGAGAGGGACACGAGCAGAGAGAGAGACGTGAGCAGAGAGAGACGTGAGCAGAGAGAGAGAGACGTGAGCAGAGAGAGACGTGAGCAGAGAGAGAGAGACGCGAGCAGAGAGAGAGAGACGCGAGCAGAGAGAGAGAGAGCGAGCAGAGAGAGAGAGAGATGCGAGCAGAGAGAGAGAGAGATGCGAGCAGAGAGAGAGAGAGATCGAGCGAGCAGAGAGAGAGATGCGAGCAGAGAGAGAGAGAGATGCGAGCAGAGAGAGAGAGATGCGAGCAGAGAGAGAGAGAGCGTGAGCAGAGAGAGAGGTGAGCAGAGAGAGAGAGATGCGAGCAGAGAGAGAGAGATGCGAGCAGAGAGAGAGAGATGCGAGCAGAGAGAGAGAGACGTGAGCAGAGAGAGAGGGACACGAGCAGAGAGAGAGAGACGTGAGCAGAGAGAGAGACGTGAGCAGAGAGAGAGGGACACGAGCAGAGAGAGAGACGTGAGCAGAGAGAGACGTGAGCAGAGAGAGAGAGACGTGAGCAGAGAGAGACGTGAGCAGAGAGAGAGAGACGCGAGCAGAGAGAGACGTGAGCAGAGAGAGAGAGGCGTGAGCAGAGAGAGAGAGGTGAGCAGAGAGAGACGTGAGCAGAGAGAGAGAGACGCGAGCAGAGAGAGAGAGCAGAGAGAGACGTGAGCAGAGAGAGAGAGACACGAGCAGAGAGAGAGAGCAGAGAGAGACGTGAGCAGAGAGAGAGACGTGAGCAGAAAGAGAGAGACGTGAGCAGAGAGAGAGAGGCGTGAGCAGAGAGAGAGAGAGGTGAGCAGAGAGAGAGAGAGAGACGCGAGCAGAGAGAGAGAGAGGAGAGCAGAGAGAGAGAGACGCGAGCAGAGAGAGAGAGACGCGAGCAGAGAGAGAGAGACGCGAGCAGAGAGAGAGAGATGCGAGCAGAGAGAGAGAGATGCGAGCAGAGAGAGAGAGAGATGCGAGCAGAGAGAGAGAGAGATGCGAGCAGAGAGAGAGAGAGATGCGAGCAGAGAGAGAGAGATGCGAGCAGAGAGAGAGAGATGCGAGCAGAGAGAGAGAGACGTGAGCAGAGAGAGAGGGACACGAGCAGAGAGAGAGACGTGAGCAGAGAGAGAGACGTGAGCAGAGAGAGAGGGACACGAGCAGAGAGAGAGACGCGAGCAGAGAGAGAGAGACGCGAGCAGAGAGAGAGAGACGTGAGTCCGCGTGTCTATGGTCCGCGCTCGGAGCCCAGACGGCAGTGCGTTCACTGAGCTGTCAGAGCGGGGGTCACAGCAGCTGCTCTCGGGGCCAGAGCGGAGGATGTAACGTAACGTTCGGTTTATCAAAACATATCACAATATTTAACGTATAACACTAGTGAATTTCACCTAGATTTTTTCAGACATTAAAGACAAGATGTTATATAATAATTGTTTAATGAAAAAACAATTTTGCCACAAGCAACCAAAAGATGTGCCTCAGACAAGAATCGAACCTGGGTTCTCCAGGTCCCTGTATTTAATGCTATCCATTCGGCCAACAAAGCACCTCTGGGCTAGACAGGTTTGCACGCAGTTTGATACCTGAGCGTCTAAGTCGCTGGCAGAGCTAAAGCGGACTTAGCCTGCCACCTTGTGGCGATAAGATGTACTATTTTTCACGCAGCTGCGTGATTCCCGAGAAGCGTGAATGAAGACGACAAAACGGAATGGGACCTACTGTACTCTCACAACATGCCTCGCTGTTTACTCTCTTCACACAGCTGTGACATGGGCCCCTGTAGTGCAGCGTATCTGTTCTGTTCCACTCTGGAGGCTGTTTCCCTTCTCTGATTGGCCATTCTTTCACACAATGAAATAAAAAATTCACAGCGGGGAAAAAAACTATTTTTTCCCCGCTGTGTCGGATAAATTTAGAATAATGTTGGCTCTTTTCCAGCTTTGGCCTGAGGAGGATTATGTTGAAGAAATGCTTATACTGGTGCAGGTTGCGTTGTAAAGTTTCACTGCCCCCTACTGGCCGTGCAGTAGAAATACATTGTTTTTGCTCGCCGTGTATACGCTTTGCACTAAGAATCTGGAGCGGGGGCGTTTTTGCAAATTTCTTTGCAAATGTTAATTTGTTTATTGTTAATTATTTATTTTATTTATTTATTTGATAGGGACAATGCACATTAATGAACATCAGTATAAAACAAATGTAAATATGGCGGATTATAGCTACCAAGCTAGTTTTCATCCGTAGTCCCAAGGCAGGAAAAAACATGACAACATACAATACAATAAAATACAAAATAACACTACAATACAGACGGCACAGGGAAGAGTTAAGAGTCTAGTGGTCACATGACTGGTTTCTCTTAAGCCATTGTTTGATTTAATGAGGCCTAAATCAAGCTTTTGTGGTGTCTTAAGTGTTAAAAACACAACCACACTAGTTCATAGTACAAAAATACAATCCAACAAAGAGCAACATGATGATTGTGAGAAGCAGAGAGGATAAACATTTGACCTTCCCTAACTTTCAGCTCTGTGGTCAGCCTCTTTCCGTCTCCAAAGAGACAAAGTATCTGGGACACTTTCTCACAGATGACTGGCGTGATGACAGAGACATTAAAAGACAGTGCTGTAAACTTTATGCCCAGGCGAACACACTGATGAGGAGGTTCAGCATGTGTTCTTATCCTGTTAAATGTACTCTGTTTCGGGCGTACTGCACTCCGCTGTACACAGCTCCTCTGTGGACCAAGTACAGTCGCAGGTCCTTCCACAGACTCACAGTTGTTTACAACGATGCCTTCAGGCTGCTGCTCCGGATGCCCAGGTGGCACAGTGCCAGTGAACTGTTTGCGAGCCCCCACATTCACACCTGTTTTTTTAGTAGCGATGGCAACGTCACAACATCCTGGAGACTGACTGCTGTAGCAGCACTCGGTGTAAGTTATAGTTATAGTTTATTAAACATTTGGCATGAAGTGAAAATGAGAGCAGGAGGAGAGCAGCAGCTGCTGTGTACTCACACGGCTCCTGGACACATGTCTGGATTCTGAAACAGAGACAGACACGAGTTCAGGCTCAGGAATCACTACTGCAGCGTTTACGCGTCGCAGCACCATCTGACTTTATCACACTCCAGAATATGACAGAGGAAGGGACAGCGTAATGTTACTTAATGTTACTTACTTCCAGTGCCTTGCGAAAGTATTCGGCCCCCTTGAACCTTTCAACATTTCACCACATTTCAGGCTTCAAACATAAAGATATAAACACTACATTTTTTGTCAAGAATCATTCTTCCTTGCAAAACAGCTCGAGCTCAGTGAGGTTGGATGGAGAGCGTTTGTGAACAGCAGTCTTCAGCTCTTTCCACAGATTCTCGATTGGATTCAGGTCTGGACTTTGACTTGGCCATTCTAACACCTGGATACGTCTATTTGTGAACCATTCCATTGTATATTTGGCTTTATGTTTTGGATCATTGTCCTGTTGGAAGATAAATCTCCATCCCAGTCTCAGGTCTTTTGCAGACTCCAACAGGTTTTCTTCCAGAATGGTCCTGTATTTGGCTCCATCCATCTTCCCATCAATTTTAGCCATCTTCCTTGTCCCTGCTGAAGAAAAGCAGGCCCAAACCATGATGCTGCCACCACCATGTTTGACAGTGAGGATGGTGTGTTCAGGGTGATGAGCTGTGTTGCTTTTACGCCAAACATATCGTTTTGCATTGTGGCCAAAAAGTTTGATTTTGGTTTCATCTGACCAGAGCACCTTCTTCCACATGTTTGGTGTGTCTCCCAGGTGGCTTGTGGCAAACATAAAACGAGACTTTTTATGGATATCTTTGAGAAATGGCTTTCTTCTTGCCACTCTTCCATAAAGGCCAGATTTGTGCAGTGCACGACTGATTGTTGTCCTATGGACAGACTCTCCCACCTCAGCTGTAGTTATCTGCAGTTCATCCAGATTGATCATGGGCCTCTTGACTGCATCTCTGATCAGTCTTCTCCTTGTTTGAGATGAAAGTTTGGAGGGACGGCCGGGTCTTGGTAGATTTGCAGTGGTCTGATACTCCTTCCATTTCAATATAATTGCTTGCACAGTGCTCCTTGAGATGTTTAAAGCTTGGGAAATCTTTTTGTATCCAAATCCGGCTTTAAACTTCTCCACAGCAGTATCTCGGACCTGCCTGGTGTGTTCCTTTGTCTTCATGGTTCTCTCTGCGCTTTAAACAGAACCCTGAGACTATCAAAGAGCAGGTGCATTTATACGGAGACTTGATTACACACAGGTGCATTCTATTTATCATCATCAGTCATTTATCCGCATTTTTATTTGTTAACAACGTTTAAATTATCCAATCATATATCGTTCCACAATCACGATTGCTGTCGCCACTCTGTTGATTGAATCATGACAAAACCATTAAAATGATATATCTATATGTATGCAGCCTGAAAATGTTGGCGAAAATGTTGAAAAATGGTATGCAAGGGCGGCCCGAAAAGGCACTTGTAGACTCCACGCCATTAGCAAGGACTAGGGGATACCCATTACCCTCCTATTGCTATAATCGCTCTGGCAACTCCAAAACCGACTCACTAGGAACCAGATCCTAAGTGCCGGGGCTCCTATGAGTCCCACTCATTACTGTTCTCTGGCAGTCCAAGAACAGTTACAATTCTATGCCCTGGTTGAGTAGTCAATGAAATAGCACAGTTAATTGTAACAATCGCTACTAGTAACAAATGGCCAAACATATTCAATTACTTTTTCAAATAAGACAGGGAAAACACAATTTAAGGGGTTCTATTATCTTTAAAGTTCCAGCCGTGAGAACGACACAGAAAAGTCTGTGTGTGTGTAGGTCTGTGGGTCCGGTCTGGAATGGTTTGGGGAACGACCTCAAGCAGTCGACAAAGAGAAGTGTAATTTATCGTCTTATATCAGTATTATATACAGTGCCTTGCGAAAGTATTTGTCCCCCTTGAACCTTTCAACATTTCGCCACATTTCAGGCTTCAAACATAAAGATATAACATTTTAATTTTTTGTCATGAATCAACAACAAGTGGGACACAATCGTGAAGTGGAACAAAATTTATTGGATAATTTAAACCTTTTTAACAAATAAAAAACTGAAAAGTGGGGCGTGCAATATTATTCGGCCCCTTTACTTTCAGTGCAGCAAACTCACTCCAGAAGTTCAGTGAGGATCTTTGAATGATCCAATGTTGTCCTAAATGACTGATGATGATAAATAGAATGCACCTGTGTGTAATCAAGTTCTCCGTATAAATGCACCTGCTCTTTGATAGTCTCAGGGTTCTGTTTAAAGCGCAGAGAGAACCATGAAGACAAAGGAACACACCAGGCAGGTCCGAGATACTGTTGTGGAGAAGTTTAAAGCCGGATTTGGATACAAAAAGATTTCCCAAGCTTTAAACATCTCAAGGAGCACTGTGCAAGCAATTATATTGAAATGGAAGGAGTATCAGACCACAGCAAATCTACCAAGACCCGGCCGTCCCTCCAAACTTTCATCTCAAACAAGGAGAAGACTGATCAGAGATGCAGCCAAGAGGCCCATGATCACTCTGGATGAACTACAGATAACTACAGCTGAGGTGGGAGAGTCTGTCCATAGGACAACAATCAGTCGTGCACTGCACAAATCTGGCCTTTATGGAAGAGTGGCAAGAAGAAAGCCATTTCTCAAAGATATCCATAAAAGTCTTGTTTAAAGTTTGCCACAAGCCACCTGGGAGACACACCAAACATGTGGAAGAAGGTGCTCTGGTCAGATGAAACCAAAATCGAACTTTTTGGCCACAATGCAAAACGATATGTTTGGCGTAAAAGCAAAACAGCTCATCACCCTGAACACACCATCCCCACTGTCAAACATGGTGGTGGCAGCATCATGGTTTGGGCCTGCTTTTCTTCAGCAGGGACAGGGAAGATGGCTAAAATTGATGGGAAGATGGATGGAGCTAAATACAGGACCATTCTGGAAGAAAACCTGTTGGAGTCTGCAAAAGACCTGAGACTGGGACGGAGATTTATCTTCCAACAGGACAATGATCCAAAACATAAAGCCAAATCTACAATGGAATGGTTCACAAATAGACGTATCCAGGTGTTAGAATGGCCAAGTCAAAGTCCAGACCTGAATCCAATCAAGAATCTGTGGAAAGAGCCGAAGACTGCTGTTCACAAACGCTCTCCATCCAACCTCACTGAGCTCGAGCTGTTTTGCAAGGAAGAATGGGAAGAATTCCTCTTGTCTCTCGATGTGCAAAACTGATAGAGACATACCCCAGGCGACTTGCAGCTGTAATTGCAGCAAAATGTGGCGCTACAAAGTATTAGCGCAAGGGGGCCGAATAATATTGCACGCCCCACTTTTCAGTTTTTTATTTGTAAAAAAAGTTTAAATTATCCAAAAAATGTCGTTCCACTTCACGATTGTGTCCCACTTGTTGTTGATTCTTGACAAAAAAAATAATTTTTTTATCTTTATGTTTGAAGCCTGAAATGTGGCGAAATGTTGAAAGGTTCAAGGGGGCCGAATACTTTCGCAAGGCACTGTATGTGTGTACTGTATATGTCTTTGTAGGTACAGTATGTGTACATGTATGGATGTTTGTGTATATGTGTGTGTACTTATGTATATTTATGCGTATGTTTGCATGTGTTTATACATTCAATATAATAGAGTATAATGTAAAACTTTGTTGTACTTTTATGTTGTGCAGGACAGTATCCAGTATTTAATTTAATTTTGTAGTTGGGGTGGGAGTAAACAAGTATTTCACTTCTTCTCACTCCCTTTCAAGCAAAGAGCATTACTTCACTGTTAAAAAAATAATAATAATATTATTAATAACGTAATAAATATTGTTTACTATAATGTTTAAGGAATTTATGTTTTGTTACTGTGTCATGCTCATGCTTTAAATAAATTATTCATTCATTCAATGTTCAGTTGTGTTCTAAAATGCCCAAGACCCCAGTTTGGGAAGCACTGCAGAAAGCTCACCTGGAGGCGGCGGGGAGTTTGTCTCTGTGGGAGCAGCCTGCAGCACGCCTGCTGCTTCTTCAGATGAAAACAGAAACAAAAACAAAGTAAATCTCACTGTAAAGCAGAGAAAACATTTATCTTTATCATGAGATCAGATTCAGCTTAGGTCCTTTTTCAATATTTAGGCTTTATTTTCTAACACAAATATTATTCTAAAACAGTGACACACGACTCTCAGCGACACACGGATTATGCAGGAGGGTCTTAGGACAGTGGTGATGATCCAGGAAACTCCACATTCAACAACATTTATAGACTTTTATTGGCAAATATGAGGACCAAATGATCTGTTTCCTTATTGTTTCATTCCCTGTGTTTGAACTGTTTGATTCTCTGATCTGTTGTTGGCAAATCGACAGCTTCCCAAACTCCTCCTCCAAGACTGTGATTTATGGCTAATTGAATTGAATTAATGTTTCCCTTTATAGAGAAGACTTTGATTCTGCAGTCACAGAGTCATAAGACCTCTGCTCACCAAGTTTAGGCCTATGTTAGATTGATAAAAAAGTAGTTGGTCGGAGGTTGTTCCAGGGATCTGCCGTTTTGGGGGAGTGCAGATTGGGAACACACCACTGCAGGTGGCAGGGTGTATTCTGTGTCCATGTTAAGTGCCACTGTCGGTGTTCTGTCCAGTTGTGCCGCACACGTTATTTCATGTGTACATTTCTCCTGTGTGAGATCAAAAAAGTGTATCTTCACTGACTTGTGTTCCCACACTGTAAACCTGGATAGTTGGCAAAACTAATGTTTCTAGAAACTCGTTCCCTCAATAAAGATTAGTTTTATAAATACCATAAACATAACAATATAAATTCATTAAACACAGTCTTTACTAACAGTCGTTAGCTCACTAAACTAACTCATAAGTTGTTCGTACTAATCCGTTTTAGTTTTATAAATACCATGAACATAACGATATATGAATGAAAAAAAAAAAATGAAATGAAAATATATATATTCGTTTATTCTTCGGTCATCAGCAGAAAATAAGAAAACATTTGACATTCACAAATTATAAATTATATACTGACCGAAAGGGTTAGGCTGAAGTTTAACACTTATTTCGCCTAACCCTATTAACAAATAACAAAATTAAATTTCTTACTTATACAAATGTAACAAAATTATATACAATGCAGTGGATCCACAGAGCTTACAGTATTTCCAAATACAATTTTCATTGTGAGAAAATAAATAGTTCGTAATAATTCAAAGAAATATTCCTTGTAATCACATTATATACATAAACACAGATTATGACTATATACATATATATATGTTTATTTATTTTTTATTATAATTATTTATTTATTTTAATTGTCTTCCTTTTATGTATATAATATATATATCTATACATGCATTTACATACACATACACACATTCATACATATACATATATATATATATATACATTCACACACATACAAACATACACCTATACCTGCATACACACATTCACATATGCAGTGCACACATAACATATCTATACATATACACAATATACACAGATATGTTTATTATTATTATTATTTACTTATATATATATATATATATATATATATATATATATATATATATATATATTTTAATATTGATAATATTTTACATGTACAATATATGTGCTATTATATTTATCATCATTACCATTATTATTATCATTATCACCACCATTACTACCACCATCATCATTGTTATTATTATTATTATTCTAGTGATTTATACTTTTCTTCAACAATAGCCTTAAAGCGCTTTTTAAATGTGTGAACATTTGAGTGGCTCATCCAGGCCATTCCAAAGATGAACCCCCCTGACAGAGATGCATCTACTTTTTAAACTGGTTCTCACATTTGGTTTCTTAAAGACATACACACCTCTTAATTCATAAGGACTCTCTCTGGGTTTGAACCTCCCCTGTATGCGCTGAGGGAGCAGGTGGTTATGGGCTTTGTACATGAAAATCGCAGTGTTTAGGTCAACAAGGTCATGAAATTTTAATGTTTTTAATTTGATGAAGAGGGCGTTTGTAGGAGCATAAAAATCTGCATAATTAACTATTCTGACAGCCTTCTTTTGGAGCAAAACAACTGATTGGACGTTGGATTTGAAATTGTTTCCCCATATTTCGACACAATAATTGAGATATGGAAGTATGAAAGAGTTGTACAACATTTTAAGTGCATTTTGGTTTACAGAGTATTTTACTTTGTGCAACATTGCTATAATTTTTGACAACTTTGTTTTCATTACATTTATGTGTAGCTTCCAATTAATTTTCTCATCAATATGAATTCCTAAAAACCTTGTTGTGTGTACTCTTTCTATTTCCCTATCGCCAATTTTTATGTGACATTGAGTGTTCATTTTCTTATTTCCAAAAATCATATACTTAGTTTTATTCAAATTTATTGATAGCTTATTATCATCAAACCATTCTTTTAGTTGGGAAAGTTCCGACTCTACAGTTTCTAGGAGCTGTCCAAGATCTTGCCCAGAACAGTACAAGCTCGTATCATCAACAAACATAATGCAGTTTAAAATAACAATATAAGTTCATTCAACAGTTATATACTAGTCTTAAGGTCCTGAACTCTACAACTCGCAGATTGAGTAATTCAAACATCATTTCAGTCAAGTGCTGCATTGAAACAAAGTGACCTTTAAATAACACTTAAACTGTCAAAAGATGACCCAGGAAGTAAATGGCTACTTTGGCTTGGCCCTGTCGATCATGGTTGGTAAATATAAATACAATTATTTATTTGGTCACATTAGTTTATTCAAAATGTTGCTCAAGTATTTAGCTTTAGGACTTTCTTCATATCCACTCTCAAAATTAATGCTCAAATGTAGAATTTTTCAGAAGTTTGTTTTTCTCTGCTATGCATTCTGGGTAGCATCACTGCTTCCGCCCAATAAAATAGCAACGGAATGGGCTCTATGCACGCACCACTTTTGTGTTTTAGCTAAAGCCCCACTTCACTCCCTGTTCGCGGGAAATGGCTTGAGTTTCACTGGAGTTCAGCAGTGGTTTACACGAGTTTCCCAAATAATGCTCAAACGGGAATTAAACTGTGAGAATACTAGGCATTTTTGGGACACAGCAGTGCTCTTTGATTGTGCTGTCATTGTGTTTTTATAAAGTTTACAAATCGCTCTGAGTGGCCACAGTCAAAGCTCTACCTCAGAGAGAAAGCACAGCGACACTTTTGGGTCAGTCTCACAGCTGAACGTATCGATCTAATTACTAAAAAACGTCACTAAAACCCACCTAAAAGCCGTAGGATAGCATAGGCAGGAAGTGAACGGGCTGATCTGCGTTAACAGGAAATGACGTCACGCCTCCCCGTGCATATTGTCACTCCCGTATTCGTCCCGGAAACCGGATTCGTCCGGAAGTTCAGTTTGCGCATGTCAAAAAGTGTAATAAGTCTTTAAGTGGAGACTGGTTAAGTTTAGGCGTCTGATTAAGATGGTTAAGTTTAGGGTTAAGGCTGGGTTGGGGTTATTATATGGGAATGGCTGGTTAAGTTTAGGCGTGAATAGGTAGTTTTTTATATTTACTTCCGCTTCCGTCCAGATTCCGTGACGTAATCTACTGCTGCGTATGCTCATTGGATCAAACTTAACTTCCGGACAAATCCGGTTTCCGGGACGAATACGGGAGTGAAACATAAAGCCCATAGGACAGGAAGTGTTCACCCTCACAGTCTCAGGTTAGAGGATCTAGCACAGCCAGGTTCTCAAACAAGTCACAAACAACAAACAATTTGTATTTCTGATTGTTATGGTCAAAGAAGATACATTTTAAAACATTTAACTGTAAAGAGATTTTAGTGTTTAGCCATCCTTTAAGATCCACATCCACCAATCTGACATTTTCAGTTTAATAATTTGATTTTTTTGTCATTCCGTTTCTAACTAATCAGAATATCCTTTGAATCAGAGGGTTGTCAGAGAATGAATTAAAGAAAGGCCCAAGGGGTATGTTAGACAAAAGGCTGGGAACCACTGCATTAGTGTACAAAAATAAAAATACTTTTGCTTATGAGCTGTGACCATCAGATTACAAACAGGCTTTCCAGATTAATTTATTTAAAATGAGTGCATTTTTTAATCTGACAACATGAGAACATAACTGTGGGTGACGGTGCGTGATCTGTAGAGTGAGTGATGTCATGACCAGCGTTGGGCACATTACTTTGAAAAAGTAATTAGTTGTAATTACTAGTTACTTCTCCCAACGGAGTTACTCCACTATAAAAGTAACTAGTTACTAGTAAAAGTAACTATTGCGTTACTTTTTTGTTTTGTTCTGGAACATTGTCTGAAAGCCTATGCGACACTCATCTTGACATCTGTACTTGAACGCCTCACCACGGGAGCGGCGCGCGTTCACAGCACAGACTGTGTGGTGCCATATTGTGCACTCAATGTGCGCATTTTTACCTTTAACCTCAGTGAGTCTGTAATAGTGCCAATATTTCCATCTAGAAAAGTCTGTTCTGCTGCTGAAGTCCTGTTCACTCTTCATCTCTCTCTGTGCTGTAAGCACTAAACACCAACACCCGCCACTGTGAATGTGGAAACACCGGTGAAGCACCGACTTCAGCCCAATCAGATGAACATATACATCATATAAATCAACTGGACCTAGAGAGTGGCATATTCACAGTTTGTTTAGCTACAGCAAAATATGTTTCATGCACTGTTTGTTCATACAAACGCAAAACTATGAGTTATGGGTCTTACCTTATAAATGACCTGCACACGCCACTTCAGTTCAGACCAGTTCCGTGTTTAAGTCCAGATAATGGTTTGAGCGTAGATTTGTAATCCTCCATTTGGAAATGAGTCCAATGAGTTTTAAAAAGTAAAACAAAACTCGTGTGTCCTCCATAAACTCCTGTTTTGCTGCAGTCGGCTGCATCCAATTTCTAAAATCACCCGTCTTACACTTCTTATCCTCTCTTTCTTATCATTCCTATAGTCATTGAAAAAATTACCCTAAGTGCATTTTAAATTATCTTAAAACGTGTTATATGTATGTTAGCCAAACCTGTTGCTGCCCGTAGCAGATAAACCAGGAAGAGAAAGGAGCTTATCGATGGAATTGTATGCAGCCGACTATTTGTTTCAAAAACACAATTTATGAGCAATCCTCTCAACTGTAAACATGTAGATTGTAAAGGAAATATGTTTTACATCAGCCAATAATTGGTGATTATTATCAATTCTCTCATGACAACACGCCCACGAGTCCTATCACGAAGTAAAAAGAGAAGTTCATTGTGGGTCTTGAGTAACGCGCAGTAACGGGATGTCGGAAATGATAACGGCGTTATAGTTACAGTCAAAGTAATTAGTTAGATTACTCGTTACTGAAAAAAGTAACTAGGAAAATAGAAGTAGTACAAACAGCTTTTAAAGATTAGTAGCCACAACTATTTTGACAAAAACATATGAGAGTAAACAATGACTACTAAACAGTTCACAAGATTACAAGATCCGGGTTTACGGAGCCCATTACGCGGGGTGGGGTACTTTTCCCCACCACACCCTCTTGGTTCGTTCAGCGGCACTTGACAGCAACCTCCCATAAGTTAACAGCACCTTTTATTTCCTTGTCGTGAGACGGAGAAACAGAAAAAAACAGCAAAACCGAAAACAAAAAATTGAGAAAGAAAGAAAAGGTGATGAAAACAGGTTTTTCAAAGTGGTTGAACGTTTCATAATGTTTGTGTGTTTAATTGGTCGTCCCTGAGCTAAGTTGTAAAAATATTAGGGTTAGCTTAAACTAGCAAAACCACAGGTCTGTTGTCCTACTGCTGCCACTGCAGTAGACTACACCTAGGCCTACTTTTGTTTATACTTTGAAGCTATGGGAAATATAAACAGCTCACACATGTTTTTCTTAGTTAGGTTTTGGGGTAGCTATAGGCTCTCTCTCACTCTCGTTTATCAATAGCCTCATTATTTTTAGTGATGTTTTGGGTCCAACACAATGATAAATGTAGGACTGAACAACAAGGATAGCGTTTCATAACATTTCATTTTTCATAATTGGTTTGATTGCTGTATTGTGTATTGTGAGCCTGCTTAACTCAGATTTCGCGTCATTCAAGAAGGAGGATGGAGATAAAGAAAATAACAGAAAGAACATGCATCGTTTTAGTCTTCCGTTAACGCATAAACTTTAAACAATGTAAAAACCTGTAACACATTTTGTTTTTCCTAAAAAATCATTTGTTTTTTGCATTGTTGCCCTGAAAGCGTACTGGCTGTAAATTGAGGTTCTTTAAAAAAAAAAGTCTTGTATTTGTAGGCCATGGAGCAGTAAGACATTTTTACATGGGGTGAGTTCAGTGGTTATAAGTAGATAGTAAAATACATAATACTATGATTTTTCCACACGGCCCCTTCCATGTTTATATAGCCGCCGGGGCTGAGTTGTGAGGAACACTGTAAACTGTGGATTAGGAAAACTCCTTGGTCCGTGTATCTGGACCGCTCCCTCTGACCGTGCGTAAAGGCGCACTCACCCAACTCCGCGGCGGTCTGCATGCAGCCGATGTCTCGCAGCAGCTTCTCGGTCACTCTCACGGCCCCATCCATGCGGAACTTCTGCACCAGCAGCTCCGACAGCTGCAGGGGGCTCTTGTCCTCCACATCAGTCCGTCTGACGCGCGGACCGTCACCCCTCCGCTCCCGGAGAGCTGTGCGGAAGCTGGCAAGCTCGTCCGTTTTCAGGTCATCCAGAGCCTCATTGATGAGTCTCCTGGTGCTGGGAACCACCATTGTGATTTATTTGTACTTGTATTTCGTGGATCTGTCTGTCTTCCTGGTCACTATTATTCTGTTCATATATCCCGCCAGGGCAGCGACCGCGCCTCTTGCTTGGCACGCCCCGCCCTGACCGCGGTAAAGCGGCCCGCATCTTTCAGCTCTATGAACAAGCGGCCCGCATCGGGGAAAAGACGGTGCGCATTTTGTTGAGAACTTACGGTAACAGCGGGACATCCTTTCGGAGTCACCCATTTTTATCGAACAGAAAGCGCGCTGGGGTCTGGGAGACACGTTTTTGTGATTAAAACCTTATAGAGATGCCACCCGGTACACATAGCACCAGCCCCCTACGATTCCTCCTGCAGATTGTGAGTCCACAGGAGGATAGCCGCTCTATTGTATACTATTGTTTACATATATAAAGTACACAATTTGGTCCGCAAGTGCAATTTTCAAGTATTGTAACTTTCATGACCTTATTATAGCCTTCTACCACTGTACCAAAGACCAGAAACTTTTACTGTGGAAATTTGGGGAAATATGGTGTTAAAGTAGCCATTTTGGTCCAAAATAGTCAAAAAATTGTCAAAACAAGTCACTTTTGATCTACTGTAACTTTTTACTGTAAAAAGGTGTGCGACAAATTTCACTAGATTCATTATCTCATTATTGCCCTCTACCTCTGTACCAAAGACCATAATTTTCTACTATAGAAATATTGAGTTAAAGTAGCCATTTTGGTCCAAAATATCTAAAAAACGATCAAAACATGTCACTTTTGGTCTACTGTAACGTTTATTGTAGAAATTTTGAGAAATAATTAGTCAAAGTACCCCCCTTGGTAAAAAAAAAATACATAAAATTGTGCGAAAATTCCCATTTTTTAATCCACTGTAACTTCCACATTCTTTTTTTTCCGCTTCATCTGTTGCCTGGTTGCAGGGGCAGCATACACTTCCTCCAGCTCGTCCGGGGGGAACCCAAGGCATTTCCAGGTCAACTGAGAGACCCTCCAGCGTGTCCTGGGTTTTCCCCGGAGCCTCCTCCCGGTGGGACGTGCTCGGAACACCTCCCAAGGGAGGCGTCCAGGAGGAACAGATGCCCGAGCCACCTCAGCTGGTTTCTCTCAACGTCGACAAGCGGAGGCTCTGCTCCGAGCTCCTTCCGTGTGACTGAGCTCCTCAACCTATCTCTAAAGGTGCTTTCAGACCGATAGCTTCAAAACGCTTTTGACGCGCAATATTTGACGCTGGGTCCGGTGTGAACGCCCCTTGGTGCTTGAAGCTCCTGACGCCAGGTGGGAGGAGCCTGGAGCTCGCACTGATTCCCGCGGAGGAGCGCCTGTCTTTCAGTCTGCTGTGTCTGAGCCAGCTTTAGCTTGTTCTTATATTAAATAAATTACTTTAACTTCACAGCATATGTACATTAATTGTGTTACTTACTTTTTAAGAACATTACTATTCATACAAATAATATTACAAATAACAATAATGACAATGAAAAAGCAGCAGCAGCTACATGACAGTCCTGCTGCTGCTGCTGCTGCTGCTGCTGCTGCTGCTCCTCGTCTCCAGATTGGTTGAAACCCGGCGTCAAGCTCCAAAACCTTTTTTCAACTTCGGCGTTAAGGGACTTTTTTACGACAAACGCATTACGCGTGTCAAAAGCTTCAAGTGACGCGCATAATGCTCGCGTCTTTTGAAGCGCTTCAAGTGACGCCGGCCTCTCAGCGTCACCTGACGCGCTTCACTATTCATTTTCAGTGCAAAACTGACGCTTTTCAAGTCTAAGTTGAGTCCGGTGTGAAAACACCTTAAGGGAGTGCCCAACCACTCTTTCCCACCGCTTGTATCTACAATCTCGTTCTTTCGGTCATTATCCAAAGCTCATGACCAGAGGTGATGGAGGGAACAAGAATTGACCGGTAAATCGAAAGTGGCCGCATCACTGCGCACGCTGCACCAATCCACCTGTCAATCTCACGCTCCATCCTTCCGTCACTCGTGAACAAGACCCCGAGATACTTGAACTCCTCCACGTGAGGAAGAACCTCTCCACTTTGGCGGCACGGTGGCTGAGTGGATAGCACTCTTGCTTCTCAGCAAGAAGGTCCTGGGTTCGAATCCCAGTCGGAACAGTGCCTTACTGAGTGGAGTTTTGAATGTTCCCATTTCCTCCGGGTGCTCCGGTTTCCCCTACCACTAAAAACATGCTCAATAGGTATTAATGGGTAATACCTAATAAATCTAGGAGTGATAATGGACTCAGACTTAAATTTCAAAAGCCACATAAAATCTGTAACATCAGCAGTTTATTACCACCTAAAAAACATTGCTAAAATTAAAAACATAGTGTCTAAGGCAGACTTGGAGACTCTTATACACGCTTTTGTCTCCAGTCGGTTAGACTATTGCAATGGCCTGCTCACAGGTCTGTCCAAACAGGCTGTAAAACAGCTGCAGTACATTCAACATGCAGCAGCTCGAGTCCTGACCAGAACTAGAAGTACGACCACATTAGTCCAGTTCTCAGGTCTCTGCACTGGCTTCCTGTTCCTCAGAGAATAGACTTCAAAGCAGCTTTACTTGTGTACAAGTCTCTCCATGGTCTCGCGCCAAGGTACATCCATGACATGTTTGTGCCATATGAACCGACCCAGACTCTGAGGAGCACAGGGACTGGACTCCTGTTAGTGCCCAGAGTCGGTACTAGACATGGGCAAACTGCATTTCAGATTCATGCGGCTAGAGTCTGGAACCGTCTTCCTGAGAATGTGAGACAGGCGTCTACTCTGGCATCTTTTAAATCTAGGCTCAAAACAATTCTGTTTAGCTGCGCATATACAACTGAATGATTTTATCTTTTCATCTTTGTTTTTATCTTTAATCTTTTTAATGCACTGTGACTATTTATGATTTTAGTCCCATCTGTGATTTTAATGTTTAAAGGTTTTTAATTTTTGTGATTTTATTTTTAATGTTTTTAATATATCTTGTGCTCTTAATGTGTTTGATTTATGCATGATGTGATAGGGGATGTGAAGCGCTTTGCGTTGCCTTGTGTAGGAAAGGCGCTCTACAAATAAACGTTGATTGATTGATTGATAATGAAGATTGGGGGCTGATCAGTGGGGGCGGGTCCCGGCTCGAAAGTGGCCAAAATGATGCGCTGACATGCTTGCAATACCACCCTGCCGATGGGGGTGGACCCGGAATAAGAATTAGCCAATGCTAACGTATAGCATTGGCACACTTCTCGAAAAGGATGCTCCAAAAGTTGGCTCTTGGCCCAAAGCTCCGTTCCACAGGTGTGTCAATGCTGAGGGGGGTGAATTTTTTTGGACCACTCTACTTTACTCGCTGTGAATTTTTGAAGTCTCTTGTTCAAATGAATGGAGCTTGCGCCGGCTGACGCATGCGCAGATGCATTATTTTTCCGCTATGTAATTTTTTTTGTATATATATAAATGCGCTATATAAATAATCATTACTTACTTACCCACCTCGAGAGGGCAAGGCACCTTTGTCCGGTCAGGCATCATGGCCTCTGATTTGGAGGTGCTGATTCTCATTCCAGCCGCTTCACACTCGTCTGCAACCGTCACAGTGCATGTTGCAGGTCCTGGTTCCTTGGAGCCAACAGGACAACATCGTCGGCAAACAGCAGAGATGATATCCTGTGGTCTCCGAACCGGACCCCTCCGGCCCCTGGCTGCACCTAGAAATTCTGTCCATTATGACAGTGAACAGAAGCGGTGAAAAAGGGCAGCCTGCACCTGCCGGCAATGCAAATACAGCTCTGGTAGAGGACAATAATGAGGTCATAAATCCAGTTAAATTTGTCGCACACCTTTTTACAGTAAAAAGTTACAGTAGATCAAAAGTGACATGTTTTGACCATTTTTTGGCTACTTTGGACCAAAATGGCTACTTTAACTCCATATTTCTCCAAATTTCCACAGTAAAAGTTTCTGGTCTTTGGCACAGTGGTAGAACATAATAATGAGGTCATGAATCCATTGAAATGAGTCACACACCTTTTTACAGTAAAAAGTTACAGTAGATCAAAAGCGGGAATTTTTTTTTTACAGTGTTGTGTATTTTGCACTAAAGTGTACTTTGTCTCAATTTTACCCAACATTTCCACAGTAAAGGTGTGTGGTCGTAGGCACAGCGTTGAAGGCAGCTATATCGAGGTCATGAACCCAGTGGAATAAGCCACACAAGTCTTTACTGTAAAAAGACAGCTGCTGAAAATTTCACTTTTTGACCAAATTAAATGCTTTCCAAATATGGGTTTATTCACAAAAACGAGTCTCCTCAGCGCGCTTTCTGTTCGAGGAGAAAAGGTGACACCGAAAGGCTGTTCCGCTATTACCGTAAGTAGTCAACAAAACGCGCACTGTTTTTCTCTCGATGCGGGCCGTTTTACTTCGGAGGTGAAAGATGCGGCCCACTTTACCGCGGTCCGCCCTGGGCAGGCCCGTCCTAAGGGCTGTGCGACCTGTGCCATCGCACAGGCCTCGCACCACACAGTGGGCCTCGCAATCTTCCTTCCTTTTATTTTATTTTATAAATACACTAGTTCAAGGGTCCCCAAAGGCAGACTGCACTCCAAATTTGAACCCTAAACCCCTTTCTCTGGACCTCTTTGATTTCGTTTGATCAAAAGAACATTTTTACAAGTAAAGTCAAATTTTCACCAAAAGCGCTTTGTAAACAGGCAGGCGCGCGGGCAGCTATGTAAATGCAACGGGTCCTCCGAAAAAACTGTCAGATAACTTTAGCATGTCTGAGTGAGATACAAAGAAAGTAACGGGAATGATCGCAGTGTAGGAGAGATGGATACTCGCGGAGGAGGAGCAGTGAGACAGGTGTGAGCAGAGGAGCAGACCCCTTTGTGTGAGCCGAGGAGGAGGAGGAGGATCAGCGGTGTGACAGGTGTGTGAGCGCTGCCTATTGCCAATGTTTAGTCCGAATATCCACATCAAAAACATATTTTTAAAAGCATTAGCAAACACACTTGTATGTCCTAGCTTTAGCTAGCTGGAGTGTTTTTGTTGTGTCAGATGTGTGTGGAGGAGGAGGTGAAGAGTATTTTGTTGTTGTCAGCGTGGAGGAGGAGGAGTGATGTTGTCAGAGTGTGTGGAGGCATGGCAAAAACGTTATTTGATGAGAAAATAATAATATGTGACTCCGCCTCATAGCCATTTTGGCGCATTTTGCCAAAATCTAACTATTAAAAGAAAAGACTCCTGTTGGTTCAATCTTTGAGTTGGCTCTACCATTTTGCCACAGGACGAAAGAGACATGTCAGCTAAAAAGACCGCGACCAATATTGCACGTAGAGTGTGTGTGCGTGTGTACGTGCGCGCGCCAACGCTGCATAGGAGCGAAGACACTCGGTTACACGCGTGCTGATCTCGTCAAGCACCGCGCGAGGTGGAGTGCTCTGCATGTCAAATTTTAATTATGCAACAGTTTATTCACAAAAACGAGTCTCCTCAGCGCGCTTTCTGTTCGAGGAGAAAAGGTGACACCGAAAGGCTGTTCCGCTATTACCGTAAGTAGTCAACAAAACGCGCACTGTTTTTCTCTCGATGCGGGCCGTTTTACTTCGGAGGTGAAAGATGCGGCCCACTTTACCGCGGACCGCCCTGGGTGTACGTCTTTTACCTTATAGAACTTATCCGCCAATTGTTGGATCCAACTGCCATTTAACACAAAATAAGAAGAAGAGTTTCCTCCTCCGTGACGCAGGATGGAGGTTCCCAGCACCAGGAGACTCATCAACGATGCTCTGAATGACTTGAGCTCGGACCAGCTCGCCAGCTTCCGCACAGCTCTCCGGGAGCGGAGGGGTGACGGTCCGCGCGTCAGACGGACTGATGTGGAGGACAAGAGCCCCCTGCAGCTGTCGGAGCTGCTGGTGCAGACCTTCCTTGAGGATGGGGCCGTGAGAGTGACCGAGCAGCTCCTACGAGACATCGACTGCATGCAGACCGCCGCGGAGCTGGGTGAGTGCGCCTTTACGCACGGTCAGAGGGAGAGCAGTTCAGGTCATTCGGTGGTTTGCACTAGTCCAAATCAGTTTATTTGTGTATTTGTGAATTAAACAGTTGAGCAGGGAATTCAGTCATTGTGTAGGTCCCCTGTAGGTTCCCTGTAGGTGAGCTGAGGACATGTGAAACGTGGTGTTTACTTTCAATTTCGACTTCTCCGTTGTGCAACAGCGCAGACAGCAGCAGCCATGTTCTAGAATGTACGAGAATGTTCTGGAAGATTAAAGCCGGTGCACCTGACTTTGAAGCCAAAATGAACTGTAATAAATCCATGTCAGTAGTTCCTGGCTCTAAAACAGTTTTCGTCCGTCACTATAGTTTCCACATTTATCTGTTTAATCTCTGTCACATCCGTGGATCAGCTTTATCAGACAGAAACGTGAAATCAGCTCTCAGTGTGTAAAAGATGTCGTGGTCTGATTAGTCACAACATAACTATTTGTCAGCATTCGATAATTAAGTATTTTTAAACTCTGTCATTAACTCTGTACTTATGTTTCGACATGAAGTACATTGGTGACATGTTGGTGCCGTATGAGCCAACTCGGACTCTGAGGAGCACAGGGACTGGACTCCTGATGGTGCCCAGAGTCCGGACTAGGCATGGAGAGGCTGCATTTCAGGTGTATGCCCCAAAAATCTGGAACAGCCTTCCTGAGGATGTACGGGAGGCCTCATCTTTAGCATTATTTAAGTCTAAGCTGAAAACCGTTCTTTTTAGCTGTGTATATGACTGACTTTTATATATTGAGCTTTTTATACCGTTTTTAATTCCGAAATTCAGTTTGAAATGTTTATTTTTATGCAACAATTATTATTGTTTTTGTTATTATTTTATATTACGTTTTATGTGTTTTAAAATGTTTGTAAATGTGTATGATCTTGTGTTCTTGTGAAGCACTTTGGGCTGCATTGCATGAATTGTGCTTTATAAATAAACTTGATTGATTGATTGATTGATGTGAAGGGTTCTTTTGCAACTTCAATTCAATGTAAGTAAGTAGTAGTAAGTAATCTTTATTTATATACCGCCTTTTCACTGCAGATCTGAGTCTCAAAGCGGTTTACAATTGTTAATTTTGGGCATTTGTCTCTCACTCCACACAGAGATGGGAGCGGGGTCGCCAGTACAGGAGGCGCATGCCAGAACTATTGGACATATTTTTAGTGGTAGGGGAAACCGGAGTACCCGGAGGAAACCTACGCAGACACGGGGAGAACATGCAAACTCCACTCAGAAAGGCCCTGGTCCGACCGGGATTCGAACCCAGGACCTTCTTGCTGAGAGGCGAGAGTGCTATCCACTCTGCCGCCGTGCCGACACAAGAATGTATTCTTGTGTCGTCCGAAATTACAACAGCAGTCGCCTCAGAAGACTTAACAAAGCTGTCGATTCACGACACAGATCAGAGAACACAGCCTTGTCTCGTAGCCCTCCTGTCCTGTCCTGCTCTGATCTGGTCTCTCTCTGGTCTCTCTCGAGTTTCTCTTCAGTCTCTCTCTGGTCTCCCTCTGCTCTCTCTCTCTCTGATCACTCTCTCTGGTCTCTTTCTGGTCTTTCTCTCCAGTCTCTGTAGTTTCTCTCTGGTCTCTCTCTGGTCTTTCTCTCCAGTCTCTGTAGTCTCTCTCTGGTCTCTCTCTGGTCTTTCTCTCCAGTCTCTGTAGTCTCTCTCTGGTCTCTCTCTCTCTCTCTCTCTGGTCTCTCTCTAGTTTCTTCACTGGTCTCTGCCTCTGATTTCTCTCCCTGGTCCCTCTCTGGTCTCTGTCTATGGTCTCTCTCTCTGGTCTTTCTCTGGTTTCTCTCTCTGGTCTCTGCCTCTGGTCTCTCTCTCTCTGGTCTCTGCCTCTGGTTTCTCTCCCTGGTCTCTCTCTCTGGTCTCTCTCTCTGGTCTCTGCCTCTGGTTTCTCTCCTTGGTCCCTCTCTGGTCTCTCTCACTTCAGCAGTTTTACAAGGTTTTACAGCTTAAAAATATGCTTACATTTTCTCCATCGATCCATTTTCTTCCGCTTTATCCATTGCCTGGTCGGTTGGGCAGCTGCCTGAGCAGAGACTTCCCTCTCCACACACACTTCCTCCAGCTCCAACTGGTTTGAGAGATTTAGCAACTATTGACATTTAATAACAGTGATTTATGGTTTCTAAATTGGGCGCTCCAGCTTCAACATCTTTAACATTTTTAACTCTATTTCATGCATTGATTCCTGATCAAACTCTCCTGTTCTTTCTGTTCTTTCAAAGAGACCCATACCCGTACCAGGTGACTTTCCTCTGGCACAGTCGCCTCCTCTGGCAGATGCAGAGTATGATACAAGTGAATGAACGGCAATAAGATAAGATATTCCTTTATGTCTCACAGTGGAGGAATTTCAGTGTCATCGTTGCGCTCATTACAGCAGGAAATAAGAGCACTCAGATTGTACACATCAATTATTTAAGATAATAGACGATTTAATTAAAATGTGGTAACAAGATGGTAAAATAGAATAAAATACAATAAAATAAACCCTGGAGCTATAATTGCACATGGTTCAGAAGTATTTACAGATGTGTATATTGTACTGTAGCAGCGGAGAATATGAGCAGAATAAACATCAGTAAAAACAACAGGTAAAGTGACTAGTGACAAAGTTACTATAGTGAACTATCAGTGACACTGTACAGACTCAGCAGTTCTTGTTATACATTCTCGTTGTACAGTCTGACAGCAGGACCTGTGAAACCTGTCCTTCACACAGCGAGGGTGAATTAGTCAGAGCAGAGAGAGTGTCCTGCAGGGGGTGACAGTCATGGTCCAGCATAGATGTTAGTTTGTCCAGGACCCTCCTGTCCCCACCTGCTGCACTGTGTCCAGGGAACAGCCCAGGACTGAGCTGGACTTCCTGATGTTTCAGCTTCTTCCTGTCCCTCTCTGTGATGCTGCTGCTCCAGCAGACCACACCGTACAAGAGGCTGATGCCACCACAGAGTCATAGAAGGTCTTCAGGAGTGGCCCCTGCACTCCAAAAGACCTGAGCCTCCTCAGCAGGTAGAGGCGGCTCTGGCCCTTCTTGAAGAGGGCGTCTGTGTTATGAGTCCAGTCCAGTTTGTGGTTCAGATGAACACCCAGGTACTTGTAAGAGTCCCCTCTCTCAATGTCCCTTCCCTGGATGTTCACTGGGGCTGGGCGTTAGAGTGACGTCTGCAGTAGTCAAAGTATTCTGATGCTGTAAAGTCTGTTTTAGTTTTCCCCTGAGCAACAAGTGCCTATAACAGGTCTGGGCTATTACTTGCTTGCAATTGACGTCATGTCCGCCTCATTACATATGCGTATCACGAAGTGGTGGTCAGCCGAGCTAGTTGTTCACTAGAGCAGCGTGTCTGAATATACCTTTTTCATGTGTTGTTTTAAGTTTTCTAACCGATCGAATCGTGAAACCTTTAAAGGATACTTTAGGATTCCTCATGAAGAGATTAATAAAGAGCCTCGCACTAAGGACTTTACGAAAAGACGCAGGAAAAGTGGCTCGCTAACATTTCACTAGCAAACGCTTTTACCTCTAAGGATTATTTATTTACCCAGCCATGGAGTCACAATGCTCAGTTATTACATGCCCATCTTTATTTAATGATCAGGTATGAGTTGGTGTTTTAAATAAACACTGTGAATGTTTGACCTGAAAAGAACACAGCCACAGACGCAGTGTTTTGTTGAGAATGACAAGTTCTTTCACCGATCGTTACTTACACGGCTCTTTACGATGCAGGATGTGTCCTTAAGGACCTTAACTCTGAGTTCTTAAACCCACAGACAGACGGAAAAGTTGCAGTATCCGTGTTTATCCAAACCTTCATTTGTTTAGCAGTGCAAAAGCTTGATTGTAACACTAGCTGTGGATTAGAATCTAAAGTGAAGAAAAAGACAGTCTAGGATCTTGTCTTTAATTCAGACAGAAGACATGTTGTATTGTCGATGGTAGAGACATAAACAAAGACGTTACAGAATGTAAGTGACATACAGCGGAGGAATGGAGACTTATTAGCATTGGGCCTCATTCACGAATAACTTCGTAAGAAACTACTCAACTTTCTTCTCAAGTTGTCCTTAAGTAGATTTCTAAGAAGTCCCCACGTGGGATTCATCAACGCACTCGTAAGCCGCTGAATTGTTCGCAGCTGTTCTCTCAGATTGATGAATCCCATTTCCTCGTAAGTACAGCGCGCGTGCCAGGTGCTTCATTAGCATAGGTACTTAGCATGAGTAACCGCCCACTAATGCCCATATACGCCAGAGGAAACAGCAACAGGCCTTTACACGGAGCAAAATAGTCACCCTTTTTTCTTCTTTTACCAGACTGAGAATAAAGTTATAAAATGTTGACTTAAAAGTCGAAATATTATGATAATAAAGTCGAACTAGCAAAATTATGAGATTAATCTAAGAATATTATGAGATTAATCTCAAAATGTTATGAGCTTAATTTAAAAATATATTATGTATTATTTTAAAGATGGATCTCAAAATGTTTTGAGATTAATCTCAAAATATTTTGGACCCTGGGAGGAGATCCAGCGCGGACCAGCGCTGAGACCAATGCAGACCCGAGGAGAGACTGGAGTGACCAGCACACAGAAACCAGCGCGGACAGGAGAGACCGCATAGACTGGAGTGACCTGACTGGAGAGACCGGTGCGCAGAGACCAGCGCGGACCGAAGATAGACCGCATAGACCAGACTTGAGAGACCAGCGCGGACCCGTATGGATCCAGGAGCATGCAGCACGGACCCGTATGGAGAGACCAGTGCAGACCCGTATAGATCCATGGGAGAGACCAGTGCAGACCCGTATATGGGAGAGACCAGTGCAGACCAGTATAGATCCATGGGAGAGACCAGTGCAGACCCGTATAGATCCATGGGAGAGACCAGCGCAGACCCGTATAGATCCATGGGAGAGACCAGTGCAGACCCGTATAGATCCATGGGAGAGACCAGTGCAGACCCGTATAGATCCATGGGAGAGACCAGTGCAGACCCGTATAGATCCATGGGAGAGACCAGTGCAGACCCGTAAAGATCCATGGGAGAGACCAGTGCAGACCCGTATAGATCCATGGGAGAGACCAGTGCAGACCCGTATAGATCCATGGGAGAGACCAGTGCAGACCCGTATAGATCCATGGGAGAGACCAGTGCAGACCCGTATATGGGAGAGAGACCAGTGCAGACCCGTATAGATCCATAGGAGAGACCAGCGCAGAGACTCAGCGCGGACCCAGTAACCTCCTGCAGCAGCAGTATATATGCCGTTGTTCTGTGGCCCGTGGATAAAGAAATGCCCCCTATAAATAGGAAGGGGTCACTAATACACGGCAAGATTTCCAATGTATTTGATAAAGCGTTGGCACATTTCATTTCAAAATGAATTAAAAAGTAGGCCAGATCTGCAGTGAAAAAGGCGGTATATAAATAAAGATTACTAATAAAGATTACTACAAATAAATAAATACATACATCGATATGACGGACATATCACTGGAATGTTGTATTTTTATTCAACTTCACCAAAGAGGACAACCCTGGCGTGTGAACATGTCGGCACTGAATGCGTACGAGCGCTCCTGAGGACTCGTAGGATTTGTACTTGCCCAAGAGAAATTATGGTTACGAGAAATATTCGTGAATGCCACTTTCTTCGTAAAAACCGCGTAAGTAGGATTTACGTACAAATCTGTTCCTAAGAACCGTTCGTGAATGAGGCCCATTGTTAGTATATTAGCATTTTCTCCGGTGCCAGTAGCTTCAACCTTAATATTACCAAAACATGTAGTGGAAAAATTCTGCCTTGTGCATATTGTTAGAATGATGAGTTAGAACGTTAACCACAGTAGCTTCAAAGTGTCATGAAATATAAAAAAAAGCAACAAATACTCGGAAGAGTCGCATTTTCTCCACATATCAGCAGCAACTCTAGCTGGCCTGACCACCACTCCGTCAACCGGAACTTTATGCGTCACGTGACTGCAAGCAAGCAATTACTTTCTTCATGGGCCATATATTACGCTATTGTGGAGGGCCGGACCCAATTTGCCTCCTGATTCATTATAAAAAGGGACAGAATGGTTTAGATCTGTCGGGAAGGATCCAGGGGCTGCATAGAAATGTGAATCATAGACTTTAAACAGATGGACAATGCTAACATTGACTGTATAAAGATTGTGGATCCATAATAATAACTGGATAGGTTATTACTAGCTTGGAGCTGAAGAACCCTCGTGCTCGGGGGATTCTCACGGTACTGCAGACTAAACAAGACTAAATTCACGTGGGCTACCCAGAAATGTTCCCCAGAAAAACTCAATGTAAACTAAAACAGCTCGACCTCAGCTGACAGAGAACCTACAGCTTTCACAAAGGTCGGATTTTAGTGTCCCTTGTCGTCCTGGACTTTGTTTCTTCTTAAATCCTTCGGTTTTATTTAAATCCACACTTTACTGCCACAAACTCTGCTCGTTTGGCTCCTTCTCTAGCTCCGTTCTAATCACCAGCTCTGATTGGTCAGAGTGCGACAGAGCCCCTCCGTGCACGTGCATGAGAACCACACACGCGTATTTGGCGCATGGCATTATGGGAACTCGTCCACTACGCAGAACCGGGAGGACCAGATGATGCCCAAATATGGGCGACTCTGCAGAGTCCCGCTAATCTTTCGGTCCTCATGGTGGCACATGCACCACTGAGCACATGCCATTCATTTGAATAGGACGCCATCTTGGATCGCCGGGGCTTGATATAGATATAGGGCAATGCTAACACAGACTGTATATAGATGGAGAATACACTGACTGTATAGATGGACAATGTTAACGTAGGCTGTGATAAATCATGAATACATATATATGCAAATAATAAATAAAACTATCTGAACCCTGTGTCTCTGCAGAGCAACACTTCGTGGACCGACACAGGGAGGAGCTCATAGTCTCGTACATCAACCCCATCCTGGACTATTTGCTCCAACAAGGGGTGCTGCAGGGAGAGCAGTATGACCGGATCCGCAGCCTCAGGCCCACCCAGGAGCAGACCAGGACTCTGCAGTCTATAGTAGGACTCCCAAGTCTAGTCCTAGTCCGAGTCTAGTCCTAGTTTCCAGACCTGCAAGTCCAAGTGTTGTTGTCCAAGTTTCACCAGCAATTATCTCGGAGGACAGCTGTTGATGACACTACAGTGCAGGCTTACTGTACTTATGTCATCAAGGCAAAGTTAGAGATTTTATACTTACTTCTTTATTAGATAGACAGATAGATAGATACTTTATTGATCCCCGTAGGAACAATGCAGGTGTCCAGTAGCAGCAGAAACACATCCATCCAAACAAACAAAAACAAATAAATAGATAATTCTAAAAATGCAACAGCACTTCAGGTCATAGCTAATGCTATGCTAATGTTAGAGATGTTTTACTTGCTTCTTTATTATGCTAAAGCTAGAGATGTTTTTTTATTAATTATAAATGTATTGTCATTTATCTTGTGCTGTGTGCTCCTCATTCCTACTGTTCTGTAACTGCTGATGCAACACTGACATTTTCCTGTGGGACGAATAAAGGATGTCTCCATCGTAATCTAAACTTGTCAAAAGTCACAGATTCAATTCCAAACAGCAGGGGGCGTCGGTGTCCAGGTTTTGAACACAACTGCAGCTGTAGAATTTGGTAAAACAGGAAGGATGCTGATCTTTTTCTTATTTTTCTTTTTTTTTACTTTATTAAGAACAATAGAACATATACATAAACAAACACAGGTAGAGGACTCAAATAACCAAGCTAGAGGGCAAAGGCACTTGAATTAATAAATAACCTTCACTTACAATTTACAATAGAATACAATGAGCAATAGTTAACAAAACATACTTGGAAATCAAATAGGAGGTCGCTCTGTCAGATTTATATTTCTTAAGTAATGTTAACCTCTTAACACCCGCCTCATTTTGGCTCGTGCACAAAAGTTGGGAAAACCCAAATGTCTTTGCTTATTTAAAACCACATCTTACATCTCACAGGTTTGTGTGATGCATCATTTTAAAGCTAGAGCCTTCTAGTTTATGTAAATATACACTAAAATAATGTTTGTCATTCCGATTTCACTCTGCATCCTTTGAAGTTTGGGAAAAAACTATTTTTTTTTAGCATTGCCTAAAATTTTCAATTGCTAAAGGCCCTAAAAAAGGCATACTTCATTGTAGTACTCAAACCCTATGGTCATTGTGTTGTTGACAACAACTGTCTAAAGTTTCAGACTTCTTCTTTTATAGTTTTTATGCAGTTTCTCCAATTCATCAAGTAGTGCCATTTGGCACAATTTGGCAAAATGTGCCAAATTACTTAACTGACATTTCATTATCATAAAAATTATTATTTATTTTTGATACTTATAAGTTACTAATCTATGTGATTTTTTAAAACATTTTTTCAAAGTTAATTTTTTTATGAGTGTAAAATCATTGCTGCTCTAGCCTGGCCATAGCCATCCGTACTCTCCGCTCAATCATCATTTCACTGCATGTAACGTCTGGGTGACTGGGTCTGGTCCCTGTGATAGCGATTACAATCAGTCATATTTCGACCGGCTACTCAGAGAGCGCGTTGTAGGTCGGTGCCGGTGACGTCAAGAGTTTGCGCCGAACGGGCAGGTTGTGGTTTGGCAATGGCGAAGAATGCGATAGTAAAGTAATCCAGTCTGGTTCTATCAAGAAATTGAAGCAGGAGCAAGAGGAATGTTTAGCAAATGTAATCGCTGGTCAAGATTGTGGCGCTACTCCCCACGGGCTCCGTTAGCGGCAAAGGAGATGGCTAGGCTAAATTCTAAATGCTAACAACACACTCCGGCGCACTACATACGTCACGGTAAACTCAGATCCAATCGTTTCAATCTGCAAAAGGAGTTAACCCCTCCCACCTGTTCACGGAGCTCAATGGAGCACCTCCAGAGCTTAGTACGAAATGTTATTTGTACTAAGGTGTGGTACGACCAGGCTACTGCTGCTCCGTCAGCGCCTGTCTCCAGGCCATTACGCAGCCTTCTACTGAGACAACCCAACACAGTACAAATATACATTTACTAACTGCATACATATCCAAATGTCCCTAACCCTACCTCCAAAATTAGACTTCAAACTTTTTTTTTTTAATCAAAATAGGAATCATTTAAAAGACTATTATTAAATTTCCAAGTAGAGTACATTCCATGTTGTTCCTGCAAAAACACGAAGGACAATGTGATGACACAGTGATCAGTGAGAGGTGAAGCTGAAATCGAACACTCTTCAATGAAGTTAACCAAAGGCACTGAAACAAGCCAAAAGTCTATTCTAGAGCTTTGACCATTTCCAGATGCATTGAACCATGTAAATGCTGATGTTTGAGGATTTTTTTACCCTCCAATAGTCTACCAGATTAGCATTATTCATGGAGAATATGGTCATCATATTTGTGACATAATGCTCTTGGGGGATTTCGATCAAACCACAAATCTGGAGCCAAGTTAAAGTCTCCTCCTGCAATTATTTTATCAGTCGAGTAAGATTGCTTGTATTTCGAAATTGGAGTTCCTTTAATAAACACTTATTTTTACTCCTTTCATTGTATCCATAAATAAAAACCAAAATATATTTATCATCATTGATGCTGCTATTGCTACAAGCCAGTGTCCATTATTATCTCCAATATGCTCAATGACCTTACCTGGAAATCTATTCAAAATAAATAAAAATAAAATAAAATAAAAAAAATATTACCACCCCACTTTATTTTCCAAAATTTCACATCCTCCTCTGTAGAATGAGTTTCTTGTAAAAACATGCAATTAGCCTTTTGCTCCTTGCAAAACAAAAACACAGCCTTTGTTTTAACATTATTTTTAAGCCCCCGAGCGTTTAGGAAGGATGCTGATCGGACCACAGTGTGTTTGAAGAAGTTCTTTTTCATGGTTCTCTTGAATCACGGTTGAACCAGGAACTCAAAGCTGGGGTCAACACTTCAGACATGCTGTTTTCCTCTCTTCCTCTCTCCTCTTTCTCCTCTCTCCCCATTCCTCTTTCTCCCCCCCCTCTCTCTCTCTCCTCTCTCTCATCTCTTCCTTCTCTCCTCTTTCTCTCTCCCCATTCCTCTTTCCCCCCCCTCTCTCTCCTCTCTCCTCTCTCTACCTCTCCCCTCTCTCTTCCTCCCCCCTCTCTCTTCTCCGCTCTTCTCTACTGTCTCTCCTTTCTCCTCTCTCTCCTCTCTACCTCTCCCCTCTCTCTCCTCTCCCTCTCTCTCCGCTCTCTCCTCTACTGTCTCTTCTTTCGCCTCTCTCCCCTCTCCCCTCTTTTCTCTCCCCTTTCCTCAAGTTCCCGCGAGTCACCACAGGGAAGAGGTGTTGTGTCCTGCTTATGGGCTGGCTTGATTGGCGGCTGCAGGGAGTTGATGAAGCTGATGTGATTGGCTGAGGAATGAGGTAGCGGTGCCTGATGTGATTGGCTGAGGAATGAGGTAGCGGTGCCTGATGTGATTGGCTGAGGAATGAGGGGGCGGTGCTTCTTCTTAAGCTGCATTAGTTTGAACAGACTTCAAACACAGTTCTGTCTCTTGGAGCAGTTTTCTATATTATTTGTAAAGCTCTTTTTGTAGAATGACTGAAGGTATTTTATTACTTGTTGTAGGACAGACTTCAAGGCAATACATCAAATATATGGGAATGGGAAAATCAATGAACAGTAAAAAAGTTCACACTGCTATATAATTCAACAAATTCTTAATGTTGTATATATTTTAATTATTTGTTTATTTGTCAGGGACTGTGTATCTTGCCGTAAATGTACAGATGGACGGATTTAAAATCAAGTCAACCTAAAAGTAGAAATGATTAAACAAGAAAAGTACAGTAGTGAAAACAACAAATAAAACAAACAAAACATTAAAAAATAATATAAATGTTCCCAATCCATTGACATGAGTTTTTGGTGCACGGTGCGTAGAGTATTAACAGAAGCTAATGAGCAGTGAGAGGGTGGTGGTCCTCAGCCTCGGGGTCTGGCTCCAGAGCTCTGTGGACCTTCTCCCAGAAAAGGCCCTTGTGTCTCGTGGCCTGGGTCCAGCTCAGGTACGTGCGGCTCTTCACCAGCTTCCTCATGCGGTAGAACGGACTCAGCTGATTGGACGAGAGGTCCTCCAGAAACAACAGGACCAGCACGTCCTTCTGCTCGTCGAACAGACGGAAGCTGCACACAAAGACACAGACCTTAGTGTCCCAGTCAAAGACCTGAGTGTCCCAGTCAAAGACCTGAGTGTCCCAGTCAAAGACCTGAGTGTCCCAGTCAAAGACCTGAGTGTCCCAGTCATAGACCTGAGTGTCCCAGTCATAGACCTGAGTGTCCCAGTCAAAGACCTGAGTGTCCCATTCAAAGACCTGAGTGTCTTTGACACTCTCTCCCTCGACACCTTTCATTCAGAAATGCTCTGAGATGGGCAGATGCATCTGCAGTGAAGGTATATTGGAGAACAGAAGGGTTTGGTGGGGTGTAGTGGGGTAAAGAGGGATATAGTTGGGTAAAGTGGGGTATAGTGGGGTACCTGGCCATCTGTATCTCCCGTGAGCACCACTCGCTCTGCAGGTAGTGGCGGCTGATCACACACAGAGTCTTCCTGCTGCTGTAGATGGCGTCTGTGATGTTCTCAATGATGGCTTTCCCTGAACACAGCAGAACAGCAGTGAAGCGCACACAACCACCGCAGCAGCAGAAAGAAGCAGGCAGTACCAGGCTGGAAGTCCCGATGGTGCAGACACAGCCTCCAGCCCTGTCGTCCCTCCAGTTCAGGCAGTAGCTCTTCGTAAACCCAGTGCTCATCGTGCACGTTGTAGGACACAAAGGCATCGTAGGCGTCCGCACAGCCCTGGCTCCTCTTCCTACTGTGGTAGAGATACGCCTGCAGCAGGTAGAAGCCATAGACCAGCTGCCATCGCAGAAATTGATAGCAGAAGGAGGAGAGAAGAGTGAAAAGGACCAGAGCAGAGGTGGAGATGAAGCAGAGGAAGCCAGAGAACTCCCAACACGAGTGCACATTGAAGTCCAGCAGGAAGTGTCCTTCTTCAGACGCAGGAGACCAACATCTGTACTCGAAAGCTCCAACCACCTGCACTTGTTTATTCCTGATCACCCAGTCCATAAACCCAGCGTTAGAAGTCACACGCAAACGGATTCCCAGATAATGAAAGATATTTCAATGAAGGGAGAGCCTCAAAAACTGTCTCGTTTATAACACGCAGCTCATTGTTTTCTAACATCAACTTTTCTACCTTTGTGAGATTGGCGTCGATCAGAAAATTCAAATATTTTAATTTGTTGCGTGACAAGTCAAGGATTTTTAAACCTGGCATTGGTTGAAAATGTTCAGGCTCAGGGTTGAAGTTGGTGCAGCTTGTTATTTGAAGATTTTGTAAATTTGGAGTTTCCCAGAATATGTTAGAAGGTATTGTGCAGCAGGTTGAGTCCATTGAAAAAACTTGTAATGTTGTCAAACCATGGAGTATGTAGAGCATATGATAAACACATGCGTTTTTGTCCACTTCAACAAATAGCTCCTGCAGAGAATGTAGACTTTGCATGCTCAGCTCGGACACGGCGAGCTCAGTCAACTTCATGCCATCGGAAAAAAAAACTAAAAGACTCTTCAACTGCTGTAGACCTTGGAACACTCCATAACTGTGGTAATATAAAGAGAGGGTCAGCTTTTCCAGACGCCAAAGACCCTCAAAACCTCCATTTTGCACGTCTGTAGTTGACTTGGATTTCAGGTTCAGCTCAGTTAGAGACGACATATTACAGAACGTGTCTTTCTCGATGGATCCAATGTTGTTTTCCGTCGCACTGAAAACGGCAAGATTGGACAAGCTGACGCCAATGCTTTCGTCTAACTGAGAAATGTGGTTGCTTTCGACAAAGAGGAACTTAAGACTTCCAAGATCCCTAAAGCTGCAGCCCTTGAGAACGGTAAGTTTATTGGAATTGAGGTTTATTTCTATTAATGACTGTAAATTAGAGAAGTCTTCACATTGGAGTTTAAAGATTTGGTTTGATTGGAACGAGACATGTGTGAGAGTGGATACATTTCTGATAGCTGGTGGGACTGATTTCAGTTTGTTCCGCTCTATGTTTAACCGATTTAGTCGCACCATCATTCCAAATGCAAAGTTGGATACGGTCTGTAGCGAATTGACAGAGAGTACGAGATCAGTGAGGTTGGAACACGGCTGTAGATAAGAGTCATTGATTGTAGAAATTCTCAGTTGTCTTAAGCTTAAACTTTGCAACGATGGAACTCCACAAGCAAATTCAAACACACTTGCGTCGAAATGTTCTCCTGAATATCTCAAACCAAGATTCTCGAGTGAATGAAGACCCTGAAAGATCTTTCTGTATAAATCCGTCTCAAGCTTAAACCCAATCTCTAAAGTCTTCAAATTTCTCAACATTTGATCAGAAACGTCCCATTCAAATCTAGGAGCAAACCCGGACAAACTGAGACTTTCTAACCGAGGGAAGACATCTGAACGAACACTGAGATTTTGTAGATTGTCTGAGCTCAGGTTCAACAATGAGAGGTTGAGCAGCGGAAAAGGAAAATCATGTGTTTCGAAAGAACGGAACGAGTTATACGAGAGATCTAAATGCATCAACGCTGGACAGTGAAAGACTATGTTAACAACGTGGCTAGTACTCTTCAAGCTATTCACGGACAGATCCAAAGTCTGCAGTTTCCCTAAAGGCTCGAACGCCAGTGCTGAAATGTATGCAATATGGTTTTCTGCAAGTGTTAGCACCTTTAAATTGGATAATCCTTCAAACATAGAGTCGGTCAGGCTTGTAAAGTTGTTGTTATTCAAACCAAGTTCATTCAATCAGAAAAGGATCCGTCTTCAATGTATTCAATGCTATTTTGACCAAGCGATATCTTTTCAAGTTTGGTAAAGCCTTTGAAATCTGACTGTGTGATTCTCGTGATGTGGTTTTTGATCGCGGAGAGGACAGTGGTGGTTTGGGGAAGGCCTTGGGGTATCGCGGTGAACCTGCTTTCGTCGCAAAATACTTGACCGTGATCGTAGAAGTCTATAGTGCAGTTTCTTAAAGAATAAAAGAGAGAGGGGCGAGGGAGAAGCAGCCAGAGCAGAAGTGAGAGAGGCCTCATCGTGACGTCATCCTGCGAGAGACAAACAGACAGACAGGACACATAATATTACACATATAAAAACAATATGTGTATGAATTGGTCCAGTTCTAAATGACTATTAAAGCTTGGTTCATTAATTTATACTAGCACGATCTGATAGAGCAAGTAACTAAGTGTCCAGGATCATGGAATCCTAACCCCAGTCTTTACCCTATTCCTAACCTTTCTTAATGCTATTCTTTACCCTGACCCTAACCCTGCACTATGCCTGTGCAAACTGCGGCCTGGGGGCTACATACGACCCAATTGATGTCTCTGTTTGGCCCTCAGTCCTTTTCTCATCTGCAAACTTCACACTGTCTCCTCCTATTTGAATGAATGGGAATCAATACCCAATGATTGTTTGCAACTTCTGTTCACAATACAATCAAATATAGGGAAATAATCGCTTCAATCGAGTTGTTTTTATCTTAATCTGAGCACATTGCGACTGTGTTAAAGCAAAATTCTCCAATGGGACAAAACCTTTAGTCTGATTTCAAGAATGGTTACTTTATTTTCTCATTCCAAAGGAGTCCCATTGGCAAATCTTGGTCTACAGTAAGTCAGTCAGAATTTGCTCGGATTTAGATAAAAAAAAATGTTGGCTTGTTTTACCTCACTTTTTGTAGTCCATGATTTAGTTAATTTTTTTCTTTTTGTAAGTTGTAAAAGATCTTTGAAAACATGTGGTCTAACATCTAATGTTCATAAAGGCCGAATAAATAAACTACTATTAAAAATGTATAATCTAATATTTATTGATTTAGCTGCAGATGCTAAAGATGAGCACAAACACAAAGATAACATCAATATTTTCAGGTTTCCCTCTCCTTCTTGTCTATAAATACTTTGGATTAAATAACATACACGACATACATACAGAAGTAGCCTACACTCAAATACGTTTTTCCAAAATAAATTAAATGGTAACTACCCTTCACCTAAATTACGTGAAATAGTGAAATAACGTATTAATGTGTGACACCTTTAAGCTTGAGATATGAAGAAAACCGAGAATGAGTTTATAACATCTACAGAACTTGAGTTTTAGTTGTTTTCAGTAGTAAGTGTGTACTCACCGCTCTGCTCCTCCACATCAGTCTCAGAACAATCTTCAGTTCTTCTTCTGAGATTAAAAATATCAAACAGGAAACGATCTGAACCGAAACCAAGGGTCCTCGGTGCCAGTGATACATGCTTTGAAGACTGGGAGGCAGCTCTGATCCAGCCCCAGGTCACCTTGGATGTTCTGTAGCAGAGAAGTTGATGGGAATAGCGTCCATGGACAAGTTGCTCCAAGATCAGCAAGAAGAGGCCGTTGATAAGTGAGTGAAACACAGAGGAGGCCACATATGTGCACACAAATGATAATGTGACATCACAGAGGGTGTTGGTGTATTAAAAAACTCAAGTCAATAACTGGACTGGAGAAACTATCATAGAAATGTGTGATGTCACTGCTGCTGGTCTCAGAAAGAGGAACTGAGAGCAACAACAAGTGTTCAGTTAGAAACAGGTTTAACATATTCAATATTCTTTACGTTTGAATGCACTGGACACGACCGCAAATTCTGAGTCGCTCTAAAACTGTTGGTGTTTTTTGTTTTACAATTGTTATTTTTTTCTTTCTTTTTTCCATGTGTAAATGTTACTGCAGTACAGAGTTCATGGTTTTACACTGTTCCTGACCAGAGCCGAGAGGATACTCCCAACCAAGCAGATCAAGCGGAAATCCACTGGAGAGATGATAATAAAGCTTTTAGAATTTCACTCTGTACCAGAGCAGAGAAAATGGTCTGAATCAAGCAGACTCTGCAAACATCAACCAGAGGAAGCAGCTCAGCACCAGCGGCTTCAACACCTCTGCTGCTGTGACCTGAAGCACTTTGTTACTATTGTTAGTCACTTTTAGAATGATGTATTAATGTATTTGATTGTTTCTTCTGCTGAACACCTGAATTTCTCCAATGAACTATCTACAGTGAGAGTAAAAAGTATTTGATCCCTTGCTGAATTTGTTGGTTTGCCCACTAATAAAGACATGATCATTCTATACTTTTAATGGTAGATGTATGCTAACATGGAGAGACAGAATATCAAAACGAAAATCCAGAAAATAACTTTCAAGAATATATTTTAATTCATTTGTGTTTCATTGAGGGAAATAAGTATTTGATCCCTCTAGACAAAAGCAGTTAATACTTGGTGGCAAAGCCTTTGTTTGCAAGCACAGCGGTCAGACGTTTGTGGTTAGTTAACCACAAGGTTAGCACACATATCAGGGGGAATATTGGCCCACTCTTCTTTGCAGATCCTCTCGAAATCATTCAGGTTGGTGGGCTGTCGCTTGGCAACTCGGACCTTCAGCTCCCTCCATAGATTTTCAATAGGATTGAGGTCCGGAGACTGGCTGGGCCACTCCATGACCTTAATATGGTTCTTCTTGAGCCACTCCTTTGTTGCCTTTGCTGTATGCTTTGGATCGTTGTCATGTTGGAAGACCCAACCACGGCCCATTTTCAGCTTCCTGGCAGAGGGGAGGAGGTTGTCCCTCAAGACTGCACGGTACATGGCTCCATCCATCTTCCCACTGATGCGATGTAGTAGCCCTGTGCCCTTGGCAGAGAAACACCCCCAAAACATAATGTTTCCACCTCCATGCTTGATGGTGGACACAGTGTTCTTTGGGTCATAGGCAGCATTTTTCTTTCTCCACACACAGCGTGTAGAGTTTAGGCCAAATAGTTCAATTTTGGTCTCGTCTGACCATAGAACCTTCTCCCAATCACTTTGTGCATCTTTGAGGTGATCATTGGCATACTTTAGGCGGGCCTCCACAGGATTGTAACCCATTCCGTCGCAAAGTGTTGCCAAATGTTTTCCTGGTGACTGTGGTCCCAGCTGCCTTGAGGTCATTCACTAACTCCTGCTGAGTGGTTGCAGGACGATTTCTCACA